CTATAATACCTGATGAATTTAGTGGTCATCCTCTCTCCTCCGGACTCTAACTAGTCCATAGCTCACATCCATAACTGTTTCCTTATGGCCTAAAGGCCATGGGTTTAAGAATCAATTTTAGCAATTTGCCTTAGGTGAAAGGCAATGTAAGCCCAGGTTGTGGATGTCTGGTGGCTGCCATGGCCTCCCTTCTCTTCCAAGTGAAAAAGCCCCCTCTGGCCTCTGCCTCAGTTCTGGCTATCACCCCAAATGTTCTTTTCCTCTGTCATAAGCAGATACTAGGTTGGGCTTAGCGATAATCCCTAGCCTCATTAAGCACAGAAGGAAAAATACATTGGACACCCAATCCACACTACCTACCCGACATTCATTTTTCATTTCAACATGCTGAAACCATGCCTGTGTTCCTTCCAAGTGCTTTCATTAGTACTTGCTACTCCGGGAAATCTCACATGCTTCTCACGGTTCCGCCAGAAGCTACAAATACTCCTACCCAACATTTTATAGCATCCATTTCACTCCCATTATTCTGCATTTATTACATTTGCACGCACTAGAAAGCAGGACTTTGGCCAGGTAGTGGTGATGAACTCCTTTAATCCTAGCAATTGGGAAGCAGAGGCAGGCAAATCTCTGAGTTCGAGGTCAGCTTGATCTATAGTGTGAGTTCCAGAACAGTCAAGGCTAGACAAAGAATCCTGGTCTTGACAAAGAAACAAACAACCAAAACAGGACTTTGAGGCACAGACTCAGTTTGTCTGTCTTATAGGATGGTGATTTTATGACATTTGGTCAGACTCACTAAACTGATACATTAATGAATTTTATGGAAGGCACATACTATTCAATGACAGATTTAGACAAAATTCACTGCTAAGTTCTTTTTAATTTTTCCAATAAAAAACAACTGATGCCACCAGCAGGTATTGTTGAAAAAGAATTTCGGAACCAGAAATTGACAAATAATATCTTTGAAGTGCTTATGTTATTAAACTACTCAGAGTTTTTTACTTGTTTTATTTATTTTGTTTGTTTGCTTGTTTCTTTTTATTTGGACTTTTTACCTTTTATGACTGGGGAGGACAGATGAAATAATATCTTATGATACATTAAGTTTGCATAATATTTTAAATATAAAATGAAAACAATGCAACATCCACTGGTTACTACCATGGTAACATTTTTTTGGCATACAGCCATGCCTCCTTGTGTGTATCCATTGAAGACCAACTGTATACCAAAATGGAAGAGGTGAGGCATGTCAACAGAGATCATAAGATTTAGAATCAGGCTTGTCCCAACAGCATGCTGTGCGCTGTTCTGAATTTTGTTCTAAAGGGGGAAGGAAGTATAGTGTGGAAGAGAAATATGGAGACCTATTTGATAATGGGGAGAGTAGATGGTAACCCCAGAGTACTTGGAGGGAAAGGATAGAAAGGAGAATAGGAAAACTGGGCAGGCTGATGTCTACCTGACAATATCATCTCTCCCAGGTTCTTTTTTCGTCCCCCCCCAAAAAAAAACCTTTAAATATCTATTTTACATACTAACCACAGCTTCCCCTACCCCCTCTCCTCCAGTTCCCTCCCTGCACTTTCTCCCGCACCCCCTCCCCATCCTCTCCTCAGAAAGGGTTAAGGCCTCCCATACAGAGTCAACAAATCCTACTGGCATATCAAGTTGTGACAGGACCAAGCCCCTCCCCTCTGCATCCAGGCATCCCACAATAGGGAATGGGTTCCAAAAAGCCAGCTCATTCACCAAGGACAGATCCTCATCCCACTGCTAAGGCCCCACATACAGACCAAGGTACACAACTGTCACCCACATGCAGAGGGCCTAGGTCGGTCCCATACAGGCTTCCCAGCTGTCAGTATAGAGTCCATGAGCTCCTATGAGCTCAGGTCAGCTGTCTCTGTGGGTTTCCCAGGTTCTTCATGCATGTGCTGTCAGCATTTGCACAGAAGATTCTCTTGACTGGAAGGTGTCCACCCCACCTTTCTGCTGTTCTGTTTGGGAGCTGCATGGTTCCTCTGAAGAAACTGGAAACTAGAAGGGACATGGCTGGCAGGTGATTACTTGCTCCCGTGCTCCAAGGCTAGCTCTTTTCCACACTAAGATACAAATAACTCTAGGTCTCAACTATCTCTTATTCAAGTGTGTGTGTGTGCGCGTGCGTGCGTGCGAGCGTGTGTGCGTGCGTAGATGCATGCTTGTGCGTGTTGGAGGTGTGTCTCTTTGGAGGAAATCTGTGCTGACTCTGTGCTCATTTTTACATACCATTAAATATCTGAACTTCTAAAACAAAGATGTATCAGTCAGAACTTGGCTAGAACCACATCAGTCCCTCAGAGAAATGGGATTACGGTCCCTTTATTGTAGTATTATTACTGCCACCTTCATTTGCTTCTCCCATTTTCTTATTCCAGGGTAATGCCCTATACTTCAAATCTGCCAGGAACGTGACAGTGAACATTCTCAATGACCAGACAAAAGTGCTGACGCGGCTGGTGACAGGTAAGAGAAGAACAAATTGACAAATGGCTGCTCTATCTGAGCACCTAACAGACTGTCTTGTCCTGTGAGATCCCACATGAACTCGAACAAGGGTCTGCTGACTGTGTACTGTGTAAAGAAAGAGAACTCAGCTTGTAAACTCTGATTCTATCAAAAGGTTCAGTCCCAAGTATTCACATGGTTAACTTACCAAGTGCCATGGACTTGCTTTTGCAGAAAAGCTGTTTTTAGTATAACATAACTTCTAAATGCAAGCCAGTTGTTTCAACTGGCTCTCAACCAAAAAAAAAAAAAAACTTTTAAATTTTGCTGTTTATTTTTGAGAATCTCGTACATGTGTACAATGAGGTGTGATCATATATAGCCCTCATTTCCTCCCTCCAACTCACCCCAGCACACTCCCACCCAATTTAATGTCTCTTTATTTTAGTACTTAATTCCAGTTAGTGTTGCCCTATACATACACAGGTAGGGGGTATTCACTCAACTATGGAAAACTTACCAGTGGCCATATCCTCCAGCACCTATCCACTATTTGTAGTTCCCTGTTAAGGAATTATGGTAGGATTTGGGCTGTCTTGATCTCCCACAGTCTTGTGCAGGGAACCACAACTGCTATAGGTTCATGAGCATAGTAGCCTTGTTATGTCCAGAAGACAGCATTTCACCACACTCCTCCCTATCCTCCAGCTCTTCCGTCATTTTGACCTCATCTTCTGCAATGATGCCTGAGCCTTGGTGGAGTAGGGGTTGATATAGACATCTCATTTACGGCTGAGCACTCATCTCTTTCCCTGGGACTTTCTGACCAGTTGTGAATCTCTCCACTGATGGATTCCCACGGCAAAAAGAAGCTTCTCTGACCAAGTGTGAGAGCAGTCTATGGGTATAAGATAAATTGTATTTAGAAGGCAATTGGGTGGCATGAGCCTGCATGCTGCAATACAGACTTACCAAGATGTGCCTACTTGTGCAGCAGTAACACAACAGTTACAAGGTAACCAAGTGCTTTCTGATTCAATGATACCTGTTTTCCAGGAAGGAATTTAAAGTAAAGACTGGTGTTGCAATCTGAGCTAAAAGCCCATAGTTTTGGAGATCATAGGCCCTAGGGTGGAACCTGTTGTTTTTAATTTGGGCAAGGAGTCATACTGTCCAAGGCTCCCTTTACAACAGTGGAATAAAGGCCAATTACATTAAACTGAGAGCAGAGGGTGTGTGTGTGTGAGTGTGTGTGTGTGTGGGTGCGTGTGTGCGTGTGTGGGTGCGCGCGTGCGTGTGTGTGTGTGTGTGTGTGTGTGTGTGTGTGTGTGATATGTGAGTATATGATTTTATGTGTTATGCTCTGTGTATATATACATGTGTCCACATATGTGTATAAAGGGCAGAGGTTGACATCAGGTATATATCTCCATCACTCTCCACCTTAGTT